CAATAGATCGCTTTGTCACGTGTCCAATAGGCATTGATAGTCAGTTCCAAGACATCCAAGATTGCTGTGAGCTATTATCTGCAGTGAAGATCAATTGCTGCTACTTTATTTCTTTTAGCTTCTACTCCAACACGGTGCCTTAATCGATGCCAAAAATGACCAGAATCTAACGCCACTGCATTTAGCTGCAAAGTTTGGCAGGGCAAGGTATTACCTGAATTATAGTTGAGAATTTTGAGAATTTTCTTGAATTCTCTCAAACTTCTTCTTTCGCAAGATTTAGGCCCTAACACACACTGTGGTGTGTTTTTATTTTGAATGATTTACTGTATATATATAACAAAGAAGTACGTCAAGAAGCACCAACCTGACCCGAACTGTATAGAGAAAAACTGTAAGACCAAATTTTTTGTAGAGAATAGAGATGAAAATTTTGCATTTTGGGCACCATTACAGGAGTTTTTCGGACGAAGAAAGCTCTCGGAAAACAGAAAAGAATGATTGACGAGGAGAATTACGCTTTTTTCTTCTTCCTATGAGAATTTTCCAATGATAATATTTCTAAAAGCTTTTTCATTTGGAAAAATCGCGCCGCCCCCCCTCCCCCCTCCTCCTACCGGGATGCAAAGTTTAGCAGAGATCTCGCTTAATCCACTATTAATGGGTATAAATTTGTTTTCTGTTCATATTGGAAGGCAAACCGGCCCAGCTACTTGCTTACTCAGATTGAATTTCCTTAGCATGACCTCTGTTATGACCAAATCTGATCTCGTTGCATTTTCATCTCGGCAAGAGTGATGAAATTTTTCAATATGAAAACAAGCTGAAACCCGTCCTGCTTTCTTATTCATGCCTTGATTCAGACTTATTTTTCATTTTCAATGCAGGATCGTGGATATTCTCCTTAAGCGTGACATAAGCATTGTCAACGATGAAGATGACGCTTCCAATACCCCACTGCATCTTGCTGCCCTCGAAGGGCATTCTAAAGTAGTGCAAACATTGCTTACCTCCGGTGCTGCAGTCGATGCAAGGTATTTTGTATTTACCTGTCATCATTTTTGATAGTTACTATTTTTTGTAACCTTTCAAGCGCTATTTTATCAAAGAAGGTGATTTTTACGCTCATATCACTGCACCTTATCTGATTAACTGCCTAAGTTTCAATAACAGTTTAATTATATTTTTATTAGTTTTAAGGAGAGAAAATTTTAATCATCTTTTGAAAATATTAATGTTTTGTGTTTATGAATGAATGACGATGCAATCGTAGCAACACTCGTTCCATCTTTCTCTTTGTTTCTGTAATAGGAATGCGAATATGTGGACGCCTTTAGACTGTGCTGCTTCACGTGGGTGGACGAAATGCGCAGAGGCTTTGCTTCATGGAGACTCCCCTATCGATCCAACAGACAGAGGCAAGGTAGTTGAGCTTTTTGTACATTATACCTTTGAAGAATTAAATATTATTTCGTACTTTAACAAGGTGGAACAACCGAATGAAATCTCGAACTTTCCTTTATCCACATCAAACAGGAAGAAACTTGTTCAATTCCTAACCTATAGCAATTTCTTAGATTCGTATAATACAGGAAAACGGTTATGATGGTACCAAGAAACCTTGAAGCCCGGAATTTAAATGGAAAATGGAAACCAAGGAAAACACCTTATACTGTCTAGCTATTACTAGAGGGCGTTGTCTTGATGCCATGAATGGCAGCTGTGTATCAGCTTCTTAGATTTTCAATTATAATGAACTGCGATATAGCTTTGGTGAGCACTAACTACAGAAGAATTATTTATTTAGTATAAAGTTTGACTTATATACTTGTGGTAAAGTCTTTTTCGGCATTATCAATGGCAGACCTCCCCCCCCCCTCCCCCAGTCTCTCTCTCCTATTCTCTCTCCCAGTCTTGCAAAGCTGCAACGCCGCACCAAAACGTGCTAGCTGATAAGGCCCAAAGAGTTTAATTCTTAGATCCATAATTGTTGGGTATGACCCGATTGATAACAGTACGCAAAAGACATGCCTATTTTCTATTCATTTCCTTCAGTTCTTTGTGAATGTTAGTACTTTAAATTTCAGACAACCCCACTTCACCTGTCTAGTAAGGAAGGACATGTGGACATGGTAAAGTTACTGCTGGCCAACAAAGCTGATTTATCAAGGAAGGACCATGCTGGAAGGAATTGTCTTGACATTGCCATTGAAAATAATCAAAAGTACGTCGATAGGTTTAATGTGACTATTTACAAACAAAAGTCTTTGAAATCTCTGCGGAGTCCTTATCAGCTAAGAACAGACATTTTTCCAGAAAGCTTGTATGAATTTCCAATTCAAGAAGCTTTATTGAAGAAAGCCACAGTTTATAGTCCAATTTTTTATTTTTTTTGGTAACAGGGAAGCTGCTTTGGCTATTGTTAACGATGACAACTGGAAATTGGCTCTCCGTAACTGTACTTTTGAAGGAATGAAAGCAACCACGCCTATGAGAAAACTTATAAAAAAGCTACCAGGTTTGATGTTTTCGTCAAATTTCAACTCTTATCAGTACTTCATATCAGTATAATATTTAGTACTTCAATAATAGAAAATATACATGACGAAGTGGTAGCAGAACTTCTCCAGGAAGTTGAATTTTAGCTCTCGTTTAAAAAAATTGATATTTGCATTTACAGAGGTTGCTGAGAGGGTCTTCTATCGCTGTGTCGTGAGCAACGGGCTTCCTCCTGAACATCCTAATTATGAAATCAACTGCAACTACGAGTTTCTGGAAGATAATACCACAGACTGGGGTCAGGAGCTATCCCAGGCCCGACAGAATCCGTACCTTGGTGATGCAACAAAAAATGTTCGAAAGACAAACTTAATGAAAAACATGCGCGTTCCTGTTGCCGATTATGCCAAGCAGCAATTTGAATTGAAAGATAACCACCCACTGATGATTATGGTATGAACTTAAACCGTACATTTTCTCATTTTCTTTAGTTATTTGTCTGGATTCCTACATTCTTGTCTGTTTGTAAAGGTTATCCTATCTGTTTGCGCTTGCTAATCTTTGCCGTTCTTAGACGATTTAATCTAATAGGGTTTTGGTTATTTATCATGATTCGTTAAATCGTTAGGAGGAAAAGCTCGTATGCCTTAATGGTTTTGCTAATCAACAAGCATGAATCATTTGTCTCGTGTAAATATTTCTTTGTGATGATAAATACTTAATTTAGTGGTGATAAACGTATGGTAAACACTGTTGTGAAATTGTTGCATTTTATGTTTGAAATTAAAAGCAAATTTTGTAGAGGAAAATAAAGAATCAGTGCTGGAAATGCTGGAGGCTAGAATTGTAAATTGAAATGCGAAGCTTTGAGTTCTTGATCTTAATTTTTTCTTCATCAGTTGTATGAGTAAATTTTGTAAAGATCAAAATGCAAATCAAATTTTTGATCCCTAACATGCTTCCGTAATAATATCAGGCTGTTATTAGTAAGAAACCATTTCATGCCTTTAGCTTTGTTTATGCAATGTAGTCTTTGCATATGTTTTGCAATGTAATATTTTCATTTGTTTATCTTACCATTACTTCAACATTTGATATCATTATCAAGCTTCACTCCTTCTTTGCATAGGTTAAAAGTCAAAGAACAAAGCTGCTGTCACATCCATTGGTTGCCTGCTTGCTACGTCACAAATGGCAGGCCTATGGTCGCTATGTCTATTATTCCAAACTTCTGGTCTATGCGTTTTACTTGATATTTCTCACTGGGTACTCATTATACACTGTAAAGAACAAATACACAATCTCCTGTACCAAGTCTACCAATGAGATTGTAAAATGTTCCTGCGTGTCAAACCAAAAATTAGACACTGGTGCGGGACGTTTGTGGATCGACTTTGGAAAATGGGTTGTTGTTACAATCGCCTGTTGTAGTTTATTTTTAGAGGTACGAATTTTCTCTATAGATATATATTTTAATGCTGATTTATAGATTCCTGATTCTGCTATGGTTCTTGGGATTTATCTGACAACAGCAAAAATTTCTCGATTGTGTCATTTTACATAGAAGTATTTTTTATGGTTGAAAGATCTGTTATGATAAACCTTCCTGGAAGTTACTTTTTCTCTTTTAGTTAAGTCATTCGTAAAAAGCGAGAATATAATTTTTTAGGAGCGTAAGGGATATAATGTATGGTGCTGTGTCCATGTTTGATTGTCTAAGAAAAGTGATGTGATTTGCTGTTGTTTCTTGATTGCTCAGTCACAGTCTATTACGAAAACTCGTGCCATTTAGGTCTCCCTTCTAAACGAAATATTTTATGTTCCAAGACCTCTGCATACAACGCTCTTCTTGCGAGATTGTTTATTCTACCACAACTGTTTGCTTCCTGATTCTGTAAAGTTATGTTTCTTTCTAATATTTATGTTGCTTTCACTAAGACACGATGTTGTATGCTAAAGGCAGTAAGCCCATACCAGTAACATTCTTTGATTGAGGGTTGGTGGGAAGAGAAGGATGCTGGGGAGGGAGGGATCCTGGGGAGAGGGGAGGGAGGGGCTGGGGAGGAGGGGTGGCTGGGTGAGGAGGGTTGGTGGGGAGGGAGGGTTGCATGATGTCTACTGTTGCTGGGAGGGAGGGGGTGCTGGGACGGGGGGTGCTGAGGGGAGGGAGGGGTGCTTGGAAGGGAAGGGTGCTGGGGAGGAAGGGGTGTTGGGGAGGGAGGGGTGCTGCTGAGGGAGGGGTGCTGGGGAGGGAGGGGTGCTGGGGAGGGAGGGGTGCTTGGGGAGTGGTGTTAAACCAATTAACGTACACGAGCCTGGTCTTAACCAATGGAAACATAGAAGTACTGAATTCGTGTCAGCAATTCATCAGCATTTGAAGCAATTGCGAATGCAATTACAATCTTTATGGTCAGGCTTGAATCCAGGATTGGACGGATGGCCAGCTTGTTTCCTTTCATGGAAGCTGGTTAAATAATAGGCATTTCAAGGCTGCAAGATCCAAAACGTGTAGTCTTCTGTACGTGCTCTTGGTCATCCATGATAATTTTCGAGACGGTGTTGTCTTTTGATTCTGCTGATACGCTGTACTTTTTTCTTTTAGGTAATACAAATGATAACACTCCTACACAATTACATTCGCATGCACAACATCATAGAATTTTCTTCATATTTGATATCACTTATTTACATTCTGGATGCATTCACTTGGAACGGTCAACGTATAGAAATTGTTAAAAACGGAAGGTAAGATACTAAGCTGCTTTTGTGAACCATTTTTGTAGAATTAATGCTCATCGGTTAGGTCTATGATCCTCTAGGCAATCTTTCTTAAAGATCACATGTTAAGTCGATGCTTATTACGATCAATTGCTTGTCATCCCACAGTTGTCTCTGCGATCCCTTTAACTTGTTCGAGTTTACACGCGCTACTGCTCTATGCCTTTCCGTGGAGCCAAGATCAAGAAGAGGAGGCCTAATAAATCCAGCGTAAAATAGGCTATTTCATTCATCTGCTATTTCACTTAGTCGGTAGAGTGTCATCTTATGTTTTTTGCTAATATGGCTTATGACTGATTGATACAAGATCAAAATTTTGTGATATAAGGCCTAAATTAAGAAAATGTAAAATCTCCGAAATGTAGATGAACTCTTCAAATAACTCTTCGGCAAAGGGTATTTTTAAATCTCAGTGTTTTTCTATAGACTGAATTTCCAAAAGGAGCAATGCTCAGAATAGGAGAAAATACGCTTAATAGCTTTTTTGAACCATAGCTTTTCTCACTTGAAGCTTCAAGTATATTATGCAATATTAATTTGAAAGCTGGTTTCATCAGATTTTTACGAGTCTATTTACTCGAGTATATTAAGAATTCTTCAAGTTGCTCCTTAAAGAGTATGGACATTCTATTTATTGCCTAAAAACTAACACTTGAATGCTATTTAACAGATGCCGTTTTTGGCACAGAAGTATTGGTGCATTAGCTGTCTGGCTCTCCTGGCTAAGCCTTGTGCTGTTCATGCGTAAATTCCCAAAGCTTGGAATCTATGTTGTAATGTTTACCGATATCCTGCGGACATTTGCACAGTTTTTCGTGGTTTTCTTTCTCTTCATCATCGCCTTTGGCCTTGGATTTCATATGCTTCTCTTTCAACAGGTAGGTAGTTTGATCATATTGTTTGATCATTTGTGAATAAACCTTACCATGACATAGTTACGCTTGTGTTGGGCCCTTGATATCTCACTCTAGGCAGGGTATTAGTATTTTACCTTGTCCCAGATCTGAGACTGGTTGTCTCTCTTTGCAAAGATGTTTAATGACTTGCGCTGTTGACTTGTGATCACAATTTGTCCTTCAGTTACCCTTATTTTGGCGCTTATACTCAAAATGATTTTTTTCATTTTTGGAATGTGAACAACAGGAAGTCACTGAGGTAAAAGATGCCATGAAAAATTATTTCAAAGATATGAATTTTACATATGTAACAATTTTATTGTCTAAGCAGCGATGAAATGCCTGCTTCATTGGTAAATTTCTGGCTAGAAATCTAACCTTTTGATAAATGCTTTTTTAGACCAATAGTTCAAAATCTAAACCCTAGTCGGCTTAACGTTATGCTATTTCATTTGAATGACCTTGTGATGGGCGATATTTCTTCTTTGTTCTGTACATGACCAGGCCAGTCAGGGCCGTGTGGACTTGGCAAGCCTTGTTGGAGGGGGGGGACTACAAATTTACCTAATTAAAAGATAATTACCTGAAATTCTTGAGTTGCTGTCACTAACCTCTGCAATACATTTTGTCAATCTAACTGTGTGGCATATAATTCAAAACATTCATTTTAAAATGATAATAACGGACTTTTCTAGCAGTTTTGCCAAATCTGTATACTGGGACGGGCAACTACCCGAGGCGGCATGGTTGCCGCCGAAGGACCAGACAATTTTCGAATTTTGATGCTTCCAGTTCCCTTGAAAATGCACTCTTTAAAGTAAATTTTACTAAAGCAATCCACCTAATCCTACCGAAATTTTTTTTAATTTTTGCAAACAAATTGAACAGCACAAAAAACAACTGGTACAATTTCGCCGTGGTCTTGAAAAATTCCATGTTGTCAGTTACTTCTAAAGCTAGGTAACAAACGGCACTGGTTGCCAATTTAGATCCCTCTTTCCATCTTAGCACGCCTTTTTAAGGGTAATGGACACAAGACACAATTTTACCTAAAGAGTGCCTGGACTTTTAGATTTTGTTTCAACAAGAAATCTTCAAATCTTCCAGTCGTTAGTTTTTTATCTTCCTTCATATCAAGAAATATCATATTTAGCTAAAGAAGCAACTATCTTTGCTTGATCCTTTATTGATGTTAATACATGAAGGTCGCTGAAATACCTAAAGCGTTTCTTCCACTGGGCGGATTTTACCTGAAATTTCCTATCGAGGTACTATTGGGGGTGTGATACCCCCACACCCCCCGTTCGCGACACCCTTGATGCCAATGTAACAGATTTCTATCTAAGTTTAGCTCCGCCTACAACTAGGCCTAAATGGTGGTACCAAATACCGTTTGTTTCCAGTTTATTCTTGATTTAAAACAAGAGTTCAGAAAAGTTAAAACCTTCTCTCCGGATGAAAGTTTGCTCTTTTCGTTTCCGCAAATTTTCTTTGCATCTTTTGAAAAAAGTTTCTTAGAAATGCAATGTAAGTAAAATCATCTATGGCTTAGTCTTTATGAGGTAAATTCATTTCACTTAAAGTCAATCTAGTCAATTTAGGCTTTTCTCAAAAATACTACATCTTTGGATAAACCTCCCTCCGTCTAGCAGCCACGAAACTGTAATGTTTTCTGGCGTCTGCTTGAAAATTCCCCGGCATTTATTAGTCTACTTACGTGATAACTAATACTTTTGTGAGAATCGTCCATACAGACCACAACTAGTATCGTTTCTTTCTTAGTAACTGTCACTTTTTCGTTTTCTAGGCTCCATACGCCTTCGCAACACCAGGCAGGGCCATGCTGAAGACGACAATGGGTATGCTGGGTGAAATTGAATATGATAATTTATTCAATGAAAATCATCCAATGCCGATCGCTTGGGGAATTTATGTTATGTATCTCGTAATCAACTGTATCATACTCATGAATCTATTGGTAGGTTTCTATTTGATTATCATGATTTAACATAAATCACCTAATATCTTAATGGAATTTATATTGAAGACGAGTGTTGATGTTGAAGACGAGTGTTGATAATATACCAGTCTTTTCTCAACTTCAATAAAGAAAGAACCGTACAAAATCTTGCTGCCAGTTCTAGTAAACAATCTTCAACCATGCTTTAATCCAGTTTTGAAATTTTAACTAACCTGATGATTTGCTATGATTGTCAGACATTTATTAAAATCACGTTGCTTTGGCAGTCATGAAGTCCTCGTTTATGCACTTTGAAGCAAAGATATAATTGCATGTAAAAAATCATTTTTATCCAATTGGTAAAAGATCTGTTGAATTACTGACTTTTGTTCGTTGGCCTAAATATCTGTCGTTAAGGTGCATGTTAGACGAGTTTTTTGATGATCTTTCGATTTCATAGATTTCGCTTACAGTATTTCATTTTAAATCTCTAGGTTGGTCTTGCTGTTGACGACATTAAAGGTGTCCAAGAAAATGCTGTTTTAAAAAGATATGCCATGCAGGTACTATTGATAGTTTTCTATGTCTTCGCACACAAAGTCACCGTCTAGTTTTGTGACGATCTCCCGTTTTTGTTTTACTTTCTTAAAGTGTCTTAGTTTAAGTTTCTTAGTTTCAACTTTTCATTTTGGTGTTTAAAAATTTACAACATTTAAAGCGTATTATTTATCTTTCACTGGATGATTGTTTGTTTCTTATTTTTTTTCAATTAAGGTTGATTTGGCACTGGATGTGGAGAAAGCGTTGCCTCTTTATTTGCGTAGAAAGTTACTTCAAGTTGAGGAAGTTGTCCAGCCAAACACCGTGAAATCATGGAGGTTCTGGTCTTTCTGGGGAACAACATTAAAAGCGCCAGCCACATTTCAACAGGTGAGGGAAATTTCTCAGCTAAATAATAATTTCGGTGTAGATACAATTTGTATCAAAGTCGTTTTTCATTTTAGTGCTTCTGTTTCCGTGGTGACTCGTCCTAGGCCAACTTGATAATTGATCCTTGGTCTTTGAAGCTGCTTTTAGGAGTGATCTAGTTGTTGCAAGATAAGAGAGAAGTGTGTTATGGAATTTCTTTGAGGAAGCTGTGTTAGTGTTCTTTATATCTACTGCCAACTTCCACAAGGTTCTTTTAGGCCATCCTGTCTTTTTTTTGAATGAAAGACCCGGTTCTGGTCATAGAAGTTCTAACTGAACGTCTTTTGCTTGGCCTTAAAAAATGGCATCAGAGATGCTGGAGTTTGTCTGAGGTTCGAAGCAGAGTCCTATTGCTAATCAAGTACAAAGAATTCTCACCTTTAAATCTGCATATCTCTTATTGCTGAACTTATAGGGTCCAATGGAAAAACTTCAAGTTCGACAAGATGAGTTGAGAATGAACGTGAAGTCTCTAAAAAACAAAATGAAAAGCCTACAAACTCAAAACAACCGGATCGAAACTATGCTGACAGCCATCATAAAGCATCACAAAATCACAGTGGAATATGAAGTTGATGACAACGATGATGAGATATGAAACAGAGGTTGAAGTGGAATCGAGATTGCGCGTAAACAAGTAGGCGATTCCAAGTTAAAAAAACATTTGTTTAACCCGCTCATAAATTCATATTCGTGACAGCAGATCTAAGGTTCCGAAGGTTTCTCAATACCTAGTAAAGAAGGATGAAACACTCCAGGGAATGAATCACCGCAGCTACAATTGAACTTTCAACAAATATTTGTTGAAGTGGAATGAATTTAGAGAAATTGGGTATCAAAAATATATTTAGCGAAATAAAAGAGAACTGTTTAAACCAAAACGTTTTATATAAAAGGCATTTTCATTGATTCTCAGCAAGGACAATTAGATGAAAATTTGTTATTATTTGTATTTGAATTTCTGGCCATTATTTATTAAAATTATATGCTTTCATTTATAAAATTTTAACAGTTTGATTGCAAATTGAACGTTTTGTAGAGATACCTTGAATTAAACACCGTTGTCGTAAGTCCCTTGCCATGCCACAGTGACAATGACAATTTCTAGAAAGCATGACGTATTTGTTAACAATGGCGGTTACAGGGCAAGTTTATCGCTGCTATAACAAATTGGCGCTTTGCTGTCCTGATCCTGAACCGATCAAAAGCGGGCCCATGAAGCCGAAATTTGTGGTGAGACAAGCGTATGCCCTGACGAGTGCAGTTACTATAATATTTAGCAAACGGTTTGCAAAAGGCCATTTGCTTCTCTGACCCGATAAACCTTTGACGTGTAAAAACAGTCTTATACCTGGAGGCTATATTTTTGGAATGAATTTACTGCCGGGATTTGTTTATTATCTGCATCGTTTATTATCAACCGTATATAACGAGCTGCCTTGCTACACAGTGTCAACGCACATGTGATGCTGGCCTGTATTTTCCCTAGCTCTTAATTGGCAGTCTTTCCTTTTGACTTGATTTCCCAGTATTTCAACGAATCTCAGCCTGAACTTAAATAAATTCTACTTTATCAATGCTTTGCTTCGTGAACCTCGTTTGAGACCAACTCGTTTCGGAGATGCCCTTTGGTCTTGTCTAAGGTCATAGGGAGTGTCCTTTAAGAATGAAATATGCTTCTCTTATACATACGAGGCTTAGAAAGTGGGACAAAATGACTCGCGATTCATAAACAGCATCGATAATTTTTTCCCACAGGAATTAAAAACTAGCAAAATGGCATAAAAGCATAAAACAAAATGCAACAAAAAATATTGTACAACATTTTACAATTTACATGATTAAGCTCAAGTCGAGCCCTTATTTTGTACTATTGCGAATAACAAGCACAGAGAGCATCAAGAATAAATATGTACAAAATATACAGGATTGCTAATTTTTGAGCCAATCTTCTCTACAATCCAGATTATTTGTGCATAGTTTACTGCATCTTTAGACAACAACGGTAGGGTAACCTTTTCTAAGAAAAAGGTTTGTTGAAAAAGCAATCTTTGTAACTATTCTGGTGGGTCAAACTTTAAGCAGTGCGATGAATTGGACCTAAGCAGCTGTTAAACCATCTTCCACCAAGTGCGAACTGTATAATTCTGCAATTACAACCTGCTACAGTTCACCTTGGCCTAAAACTGGCGTTACCTGAATGTAGATGTCAGGTGTTTCTATTTTTTCTACATTCAATAGATGCTATCATCATTTGTAATCAACTATCAATTTTGCAGCACCAACGAAAGATGTTTCAAATCTGTATACTGAGTTTTGTATATTTTTAGTCAATATTTAATGTTTGTTATTTAAATGAATACGGTTGAATATCAAATAGATGAACTTTTTGATATAGATTTCATCACTCTTTACTCAGCTCTTGGTCAGGCTCCGAGAATATTTGTTTTTCTTCCAATCTTCGTTTCCTCGTAGTTTTGAGAAATCCAGGCTTTGCTATGCGGAGGAAAAACACATATCATTTGATTATGAAGAAATTGATCGGTTTCAAAAAAATAATCGGTCTAAAAATGCAATAGAATGGAATAGAAATGAACGAAGTGGAGTATAATGAAAGAGCAATCCTTTCAGTAAGATAGGTGCTTTAATGTGAAGCAAATCAACCAAAAATTTGAAAGTTCAGACCATGCATAACGTATCTAACCATATAAATGAAATAGCTTGATATATGTTTGCATTTATAATCACAACAAATACTTCGCCAAAACAGTGGTTCCACTGCTCCATTTGCAAGGGTTGGATGTTTTCTCTTGTCAATCGATTTAAACAAAAGTCATTTTTTTGCTGTTTTCAACAAACTTTTTTGGATGGCTTTGTTTTGTTTTTTAATTTCTTGAAAGAAAAAAACTATAAAAAGCTGTTTTCCAGCTATGATACCAAATGTTTTATCAGCCTTTATTGAGGTTTTTAAAAGCTTTTCAAGTTAGCTACGAGTTGTAAAGTCATATTCTTCCTTTGAGCAGTTGTTTTTTAGACTCTTTTTGAGAGCCCAACCCCCCCCCCCCTCTCCTCCTCCTATTCATAGCACTACATCCTTGGCCAGAGCTTTACCTTTTGTGTACTTGCACAAAAATTTTCCCTTGGTATTTTCTCTACATTTTTATAGAATTTACATATCCACCATTTTATATTTCAAAAAGAAACTCCACTAGTAAAGATGGCATGTAGTTTTTTGCCGGGACTGTAAGGAGCTTTTCACGTATTTTGTTGTTTTTAGATAATGTCACCAAACTATACTTACGACACTGCAAAGGCTCATTATTTCGTCACAGCTTGGAGCAGCTCGTCTGCTTGACATATTTTCAGGGATATCCGTCTTTCTGCCGCCAACCTCCTGTTTTCCCTCTGTTTTTCCGTGATCTTTCGCGCATGGAGGCTGCAACCTCGATGTCACGTCGAGAATCGACTCAATGTTCCACGTTGCCATAGTGGCAGAAGGATTCTTTAATGGCTGCGTTTTTCCTTTCACTGAATAGCTTTTACGATGGTTACGATAGGTCCTACTTACGACTTCTTCTGTCCATGGGCAGTTTTTAAGCATTTGTTTACTATCCCTGAGCCATTTGTTATGAATTTGCTTTTTGCAGTTATTGTTCAATATATTGGCGTTCATGTCTGTTTTCGAACTTGACGCTAAGTAGTCGTTGCACCCAAACGAACTTCCAAACTGTTCTTTTGAACCAAAACAAGCTCTGTCTGAATTTTCAAAATTCGACAAATTTTCTCTTTCGACACATTCCAACAGAAAGCTGTCAGGGGAGGAACATTTTTCCTGTTTTGATTGCGTTGTCTGCAGCGTCAACTGCGGCGATTCCTTTGTTTGCCGTTCAGTTTTTTGGTCTTCGTGCGGACTTTTGAACCCATTATCGTCTATAAATTCGAAATCATCTAACTCCATATCAAGGAGAATTCCGTCACTGACGCTAGGTTTTCCCAGGACCCTCGTCTGATTAATTTTACTATTGCCTCCGAAATTCTTTTTGCTAGTGCCAGAATGCCAAAATGGGCATACTTCATTTTGTTCCAAGTTTTTAACTTCCATATCTTCACCTTGTTCGGCTAAAATAACGGCTACGTGCCAAGAACCAAGTGCTACTTTTAAGACATTTTCACTAATCGTTTGAACTTTAAAAGGTCCTCGAATAAAACTGTGAGTTGATTTGCCTCCAACAAGAACTTCCCACATGTTTTTACCCCACATGTACAATGTGCCATCTTGGAGTATAGTCGCAGTGGTATCATCTCTACATGCAATTTCAAGAGAAGGACCAATTTGTAAAACCTCTGTCAGATTTATCGGCACCTGGGTTTGCATCTCGCTCAGAGATGCTTCCAATTGTCCCTGTAAAAAGCAAAAATATATTGTCATCTCATCCATATTTGCAAACGAACGTAGTGCCTGTTCACGGCTTATAAATAAGCAAACAATCGAGGGACCAATCACTTCATGAAATTCCCTTACATTTTTGGTGAAAGCCCAATGTTTACTTGGAAAATTTAAAAAAAAAATTGTTTTGGTGGTAAATTTCGTACGTATTTTCCCAAAGCGACTTGCTCCTTGCAAACAATCCTTCCCAAAGCTTTGATTTGTTCGATGTTGCCTTGCTCTTACCTCTTTGTTGCTACCCCAAGCAAATATATTCCCATTTATGGACACGGCAACGGAATGGCTATCCCCTGCAGCTAATGAAACAAGCATTTCTTCTACACCGTGAACCAACGAAGGGTACAACAAGTCATCGCCTGAACCACACCCTGGACCGTATCCCCAGTTATACACATCGCCTTCCTCTAAAAAGTAAGGAACTATGATTACATCAAGAAGGAACTGTTTGAATATGTCTAACAATAATGAGAAAAGATGATCTAATATTGTTGAAGACGATTCAACACCATCATGGCCCATTATGGACTGGGCAGAAAAGATAGGTATACGATACCAACACTGAAAATTACTAGGTTGCCAAACATTCAATCGCGATGGTTTCTCTCGCTTGCTTCTCGAAAAATTTAAGAGATACAAAGCGTGTAAATGCATTGTGCTGCAGCCTTTTGGTCCCCACCTCAAAAGACAGAAGTCTTGTTGCAATTTTCAGAGGTCGAAATTTTGCGTTGATGCCTTTTAAAGTGAGACAAATTTCTGGCTGATTTGCCCACGCCACTACCTGATGGCATCTTTCAGCACGAGACAAGGAGAAGCAACCTAGCTAGATCCGTTCCGTTATACAGCTCTATTCATTTTGCAACAGACCAATTGACAACAATCTTCATTCTAAACCGTTTGATTTTAGAAACAATTCATGTTGCTTGATATTTTGTAACAGCAGCACCTTTCAAGGCGTTTGGCCACTATTGGTTATCTTGCTTGTGTGCATCGCAACTTTTCAATTCTATGTTAAAATTGCTTCAGAATTTTATATTTAAATCATGTTTTCTTCAGGGAATAAAATTGAAAAGACGGCTGAGAAACTAGAAATTGAGTTGATTATAAAAGAAGAGGTGTCTCAAATTGTTCTTTTTTCAAAGTACCCCGGCCTTCCTGGCCCTAATTTCTAATTTTTAATGTTGCATTTGGTGAGGCTGGAAGAACTCGTACCAGTACATAACTGCCAACAGTTACGAAGGCAACTGTTATGTTCACTGCGCCACAAAAATGTACCACATGGTCCGTAATTGAACTTCAGAATCCTTAAGAAATCTTGTATAAAAACTTTCGACCGTGGCCAAAGGACAAAAGCACCTATGTCCCTTTCTGTGAAACATATTTGAAACTACATACCTGAAAGACAAAGTGAATGGAAACTGCCACATGCTATGCTCTTTACCAAATTTGGCAATTTTGTCACCTGTTGTGGCACAGACGTCTCGACCTTACTGCCCAAACCAAGTTGACCCCTATTATTGGCACCGCTCGCATAAACCAAGCCTCTTTCCGTCAGGTACATTGTATGTCTTGCTCCACATGCAACGTCTTTAACCTGAGATCTTCGTAAGATGTATCTTTCCTCGATTTCCACTTTCACCTGCACCAAAAAAGAGACATCAAGTTTACCAAAAATATTCTTAAGTAAAACTGTTGGCCACAACATTGTTAAAAAATGTTGAAACTGCCAAATTCATAAAAACTGATCTATGAAGCACCAAGGTTGTTTGGTTGCAAGAAGCTGTGAAGTTCATTCATTCAACATGAACTCTAATATATATTCCTAGTTGCAAGTCACCAGTTACGTAATGTGAACTTAATTAAGCAACCAGTTCAAAAGAGCTTTGGTGGGGTAGATAAAAGACTTCGTGAATACGTAGCTGTTCTTGTTCATTATGACAAAAATCTGAAATAATTCACTGATGATGTAGAGTAATAACTAAATTGTAATAAAGTCTTTGAATAAGCCTAAAATTGATACAAAATTGAAAGTTTCCATCTCCTTACGAACATAAAATTGTTCTGTTCCATAGCGTGAGAATCACTGTTTTTGTCTGAAAATTTCTTTTTGAATAATGGTATGTTGTTTCTGCAATTTCGAGACTGTTTTTGTTTTCACTGAGACAGGAAATGTACAAGAAATACTACCGTTTTCTGTCGAAAGGGGTATTCTCCTGGTACCCTAAATTGTGTAACCACAATATCACTTTGGAGGGGGACTCAAGGTGTCACTATAAAGTATAGGCAAGCTTCCTTATAAATATTACTATGCAAATCATTGGGGACGAGGGCGTGCCCCGTTGGTTATTCCACCAAAATTAAAATTAAAACAAATATATAGCAACAGTTTCCACCTACCCATTTCCCTAGATCAAAACAACTTCTACGACTCCTTCCGCCTTCATTATGACAGCGTTCTTTACCAAAACGCATGCAGCTTCCATCTTTGAACCAAATGATAGATGTCTGACTGCCACAACTAATTCCAACAATGTCTCCATCGAAGGATTCTATGAGTTTAGGCCTTTCGTATAGATTTCTCCCTTTCTCGCTGATTTTAATGCCGAGCTGGCCATTCGAGTTATTACCCCACCCAAAAAGCTTTTTGCTATCTAGAACAAAACATCAATTGACTTTTAAAAATTAACATTAGAATGAAATACACAATCAAGTCACATCGTATCCTAAATCCTATGCACAAGCTAGACGAATTTGATTCTTAAACGTGCTTTGAAAAGTTCTAAATTCATCTAAATTCATCGACCTTTTTTGAATATATTTCATTGAGAGTGTCGCTTTTTGAGAATTAAATTAGATGTCAAAATGAACTGAAGATTCGCAAAAATTTTAAGGATTAAAAGTTTTGTTTTTAGAGTCTAGCTAGAAAGTGCGTTTGCACGATGCACAGAAAGGGCGTTTTTGGCAGATATACACTACCGTCTTCAGGTACGAGTTGCTCAACATTTTTCCTTTAATCACCGAAAACGGGCAAAAGTGATAGTGTAAAGTTGCACGTTTTCAAGTTGAACGTCTTTACGTAAAGCTGTCAAATTGGGAATGTTCTTACTCCGCAAAAATTGACCTCTGGAACGTTTTGGGCATATCCCCTAGAACCTGCATTAGGTCATCTAGAATCTTCTCTAAAATTAGATTTTCACCCTCTTTTCTGTTCTCTTATATTTAATTACCTGTGGTTTAGTTTAATTACTATTTATATTTCAATATTTTTGTTCTCGCTGATATTATAATATTAAATATCAGCTCAATATAATATTAATATTTTTATATATTGAATGTATTAAAGAATTTTAATATAATAGACAAAGTAAATAGTTTTTCTAAATTATCATTTTGTAAAACATAGATCCATAGCCTCAGATTTCGAAGAACTCGCGATTTGCTTTGTTTTATTCCCATGTGACATTACAACTGGGCTAACTGATCCGTTATTTTGCTGATTCTTCATATGTCACAGGTATTGGGAGCAGAAATTATGGCATTGGACTCTTAGTCCAACTTATCATGGTCTTTGAAATAATTTCACATTTGCCTACAAATGAGCTATACCTCTTAGCATCTAAATTGACCTCATACACCTTACTTCTCTGGGTACCAGAGACACATAAATTCGAGCGCGGAAATAGAAGATAGGAGAGAAGAAGCGGAGGAATTCTTCTCAGCTAGACGCTCCTCCGCCTCTCCGCCTCTCCGCTTCTCCGCTTCTCCGCTTGGTTTTCTATTTACGCGCTAAAAAAATTTGTGGCGCTAGCACCCAGGGTAACTCTTTGCATACCAGTCTCAGCGTTGTGTCGCGTGAGACAGTGACAAATTAAGCTACATCAGTTTATTAATAACTACTAACATTAGTAATTTAACATTAGCGCCCAATATTTGTAAACAGTTTTTGCTTTTAAATTCATTCTGTGAGCCGTATTGAACAAGTCGTTGGTCGAGCGTTTGACACTCCTTTTCGGGATATGAGTTCAACAGACGACAGAAAAAGAGAACGTGAATAGAGCAATGTCTACTTCGAGGTTTAGTGTAGTTGCTGCTGCCCAAAACAGATCTGCTATGACATTTTAACCTAAAGGCTGTTTGCACAAAAGATTTGTAGAACATTCAACAGCGGTTTTAGAGACTGCTGGGCCAAAAAATTTGCGGGGGCCTTGTTCTTTACAATTTTAACATTTTACATAGGCATGGGGCCTTTGCTGGAAACTTGAGTGCGGGGCCAGGAGCCGTGGCCCCCTGTACTCCCCTTAAACCGTTACTGAAACCATTTACGTAATTCTCACCTGTAACGATGATGGTGTGGCTTGCACCACAGCCAATCAGCCGAACAGTTTCGTTTTTCAGCTCTTGCAGGACACCATCCATTGGCGATACATTCTCTCCACTGCCTTGCCCGTGCTGACCAAACTGTCCGCATCCCCAAACGTGCAACATTTTTAGAAACTGTTTCGTTATTCAGCGCTTGATGTTAAGTGGATGCGGACTAGGGACCTTTTCCGGATTAGTTTTTATTCCAGAACAATTCATAGAGACTATGGAATAATTTTACGAGCTTGAAAGGTCACTCGTTTTAGGTTTCAGCAGCTGTACCGCACGTCTTGTTACTTTGTCTGAGTGATTCAGATTTCAATTTCAAGTCTTGTATTACACGAGCCACTGACATCATTCCCGCAACTCTTTCATTAAATCACTGCTAAGATAATTCTTTTTAATTGCTTCTTCCCTCAGCATAAGACTATTTATTCAATTTGTATGCGGATATCTCGCAGTTGCGTTTATGGCGTAAAAACTCTTAGAGAATACAATACAGTTGATAATACAAGCTACAAAGAGTCTTTGTTGTGACAGTTTCCCCTTGGAGATAGCTCATCAGAGGCATCGAAAATTAAAAGCCGCAGAAGGCCACCAAATGTGATGTTTTTTCCCAAACCTAGGTCATTTATGACCAGTAGATTTACTAGCAATTAATTTCCTCACAAATATTACTTCATGGTTTAAAGGTTTGAATTGATTTCTACACAATAGAAATGGTTTGTTTTCAAAAGCGTAATCTTGAAACAGTTCCCCCTTTACCTCGAAATATAGGCGTACCAGGGCTTCAGCTTCCCCTAGATTCGAGCAGCTGATTTTTTCGGTTATAATTCAGGCAGGAGCCTTCACCAAAAACAAAAAGTATAAGAAAATAACATGTTTAACATGTTTAGAAATCTCTGAGATGAAAAAATCAAGTGATCGTAATCGTTAGCGCTTTTGGAAGTAATGGAATATGGTAAAAGTTAGCTTACATCGTAGACCCCCTCTTCCAAACGAAGATGTCCGTTGGGTGAAAGAAACACAAAAAGCGACTAGAACAGCAACAGAAAAAGGCTGTAATGCTGTCATAACTGCTGAAATATCTAACTTTTGTCAACGAGAATAAATGTTAAATTGTATCATTTTTGCACTGAATGGTGTCCGAAAGGAAGTTTTTGCTAAATTTTACAAAACTCAGTCTTCAGCAAAGCGTATGTAGAAACTTGTTGGCAAATGCTTCGACGGTTTAATATTAAGTTGTCTAAACGATGGTAATATTAGTTTTTGTAGAACCATTAAAAGTTGGTATAAACTTTTGAAAGACTTTCTATGGTCGAAAAAATATCAAGAGCATATGTATAACTTGACTACAAAAGCACCAAAACAGGCTTGGCATGCTAATCTTGATAAACCTGTGGGGGTTATTAGAACACACCTTGTCCCACGAAAAGCAACATAAGGTACACCGTGTCGATGTCCCTTGGTAGCTTGCGCGTCCTTGCTTCAGTTAACCCAGCTTCTTTTTATTGACAAATGATAAACTTTGCCTTGGGACCGACATTTTCAATCGTCATAGACACAAATACCAAACAAATTCACCAATGAGCAGGTGCTTGTGTTCCTTCACATAAACTTTCATACAGATTTTAAGCTTGTCCTAGCATCTTGTCTTGGCGTGCCAGAAGGTGTTTTAAGTGTTGTGTTATCGCTAGCATAAGGTCTTCAGCAAAGATAGACAACAAAAAGAAAAGTTTGGCTCCCTCAGTTACTAGCATGGGTTCAAAAAATAAACCAGTCATCGGTATCCTCGCCCAAGAGATTGCAAGAAATGTGATTCCTGAGAATATTGCTGGCAGTGCATATATATCATCTGTATACGTCAAGTTTATGGAAAGTTTGGGGGCTGATGTAGTGCCTATACCAACAGACTGTGATTCCGAAGATCTAACAAAAACGTTTGCATCAATTAATGCTCTTCTCATTCCTGGTGGTGGTGCGAGTTTGACTGACTCGAAATTCATGAGAAATTTAAAGTTTCTGTATGAACTTGCTATGGCAGCAAATGATGGTGGTGATTACTTTCCGATTTGGGGAATCTGTTTGGGTTTCGAGGCACTGCTTGTTCTCTGCGAAGGAATATCAATTCTGACAGAAGCAGATGCTCTTAATCTCTCAATGCCAACCATCTTCACGGAGAATGCAGAGAAAAGTAAAACGTTTGCTGCTGCAGATGAAAGATTAATGAATTTATTCTGCAATGAACCCGTGAAATATCATTATCACAAGAAATGTGTTGAGATGGAGAATTTTCTTCATTCGCCAGGAATTACGTCACAGTATTCTGCGCTTTGTTATGACGAGGACAGGACGAAGAAATGTTTTGTGTCTTTAATAGAAGGTATCTTTCCTTTGTTTGCAATATTAAACAGTGAAACAATATCCAGTTATCTGAGCAAGGAAATTCAATCAAATTTTGTTATGTAGCCTCTGAGCATTCAAAAGTTTTCTTAAAGTAAAGATTTAACGCCACAAAGCTAGTTATTTTCAGTCTAGGTACAGTAATTCCAACGCATGATCTTCTAGGAGAATAGCTAAGAATTTTCTAAATTCTGCACACATTTTTATATCTCATTGCATATATCTGGTTGTTTGAGACCGTCTACACTATTTATATGTGATTAATCCACTGAGCGTTCCAACGACTTTGGCAGGGAGCGTATATGTCTAATGAATTTGAATTTTCACTGTTTAAATTTGTTTTAGGGAGAAAGTATCCATTTTACGGCGTCCAGTGGCACCCCGAGAAAATTTTGCACGACATGACACCTGGTTTAAGAATTCCTAGATCCAAAGAAGCTGAAGTAGCATCAGAATTTCTTGGAAACTTTTTCATAAACGAGGCTACTAAGAATCAACATGCTTTCCAATCTTGTGATGAAAAACAAAGGTATTTGATACAAAACTATAACGAATATTATACCGGAGAACTCAACCGCATTCAATATGCGTATATATTCTGATATTTTAGAAATTTCATTAAAGCTATGGCCTTACATTTTGGCAAAACAGTAGATGCAACGCGATCAGTCAATGTGATCGCTTGCGTCAAACGAAAAGGCCTGTTAAATACAGGGCATCGGGTTTCCATACCTGGAAATTTCCATACCTCTCTTTTCTCTCTTTTGAAGATTTTTAAGGTCAGTCGATGAATTTTTCTGAAAAGATACATTTTGCAAACATGAATTAAATTGATGTTATTAAATTCATTTAGTTAACATCCATGCATCTAGTTGTTAATTTCTATATTGCATCCTGATGAAGAGTTCTGCTCAAATCGTCGTACTTATATTTCATTCTTGTACAAATTCGTTATTTCGTTGCATCAATTTTTGCTCATTACTCGACGTACAACTAGACCGCGTGCAGACTCTACGGAGGAGACGCAAGCACGTCTGAACGCAGGCTACGTACAACACGTTCAACTCCATTGATTATCAATCGATCAGTGATAGCTTGATAAGACAATCTACTATTTTAAAAAACGTAACAACACCTGATTGAAATGATCGAGCAAATCGAGCGAGCAATCAAGATTTTTAAACTATCAGCTATCTAGGTGAAATTTTTTTTGCAAAAAAGCAGTTATTTTAAAGTCCATTGTTTTCGATACATAGCCTGAAAACAGGTAGGAATAGATTTAGAACCCACAAAAAATATAAAAAAATCATTTTAATAAATTTTGAAATAACTTTAGAAATAAAGGCCATGAAAAGGACAAGAACAGTTATTGCAAAATAGATACTTCGCAAAAGGGACACTTTGAAATTGTATCTTGTTGACAGTTGCCACAGTAACCAGCATTTGAAAGTACTTTTGAGACAATACTCTTTAGCTTTCACCTCGAATGTAATTATTCCAAGAAACTTTTTCCATATCTAATTTGAATTTAAAGACACATTTTGCTGTTGTTTACAATAATTTCAAGGCTAATTTTGGAAATTTCCAACGTCAGTAAAGTTTATCCATTAAACAATATGCTTGTTTTTATTCATCCTTTGTTACTGAGTTGGATTTTGGATTTTACCATGTTTTAATCTAAATTAGCCCTCCCCTTTGCCCGAGGATGCTTAAAAAACCGTGTTATGTGAAGAAGTTGATAGTTGTGTCCAAATCTTAACCTCTCATCGCTTAACAGTTAGGAGATAATAGGGGGAGCCAAATTAGCCCTCCCCTTTGCCCGAGGATGCTTAGAAAACTGTGTTATGTGAAGAAGTTGATAGTCATGTCCAAATTTTAACCTACTATCGCTGAACAGTTAGGAGATAAGAGGGGGAGCCAAATTAGCCCTCCCCTTTGCCCGAGGATGCTTAGAAAACTATGCTATGTGAAGAAGTTGATATTCATGTCCAAATTTTAACCTACTATCGCTGAACAGTTAGGAGATAAGAGGGGGAGCCAAATTAGCCCTCCCCTTTGCCCGAGGATGCTTAGAAAACTGTGCTATGTGAAGAAGTTGATAGTCATGTCCAAATTTTAACCTACTATCGCTGAACAGTTAGGAGATAAGAGGGGGAGCCAAATTAGCCCTCCCCTTTGCCCGAGGATGCTTAGAAAACTGTGCTATGTGAAGAAGTTGATAGTCATGTCCAAATTTTAACCTACTATCGCTGAACAGTTAGGAGATAAGAGGGGGAACCAAATTAGCCCTCCCCTTTTCCTGAGGATGCTTAGAAAACTGTGCTATGTGAAGAAGTTGATATTCATGTCCAAATTTTAACCTACTATCGCTGAACAGTTAGGAGATAAGAGGGGGAGCCAAATTAGCCCTCCCCTTTGCCCGAGGATGCTTAGAAAACTATGCTATGTGAAGAAGTTGATAGTCATGTCCAAATTTTAACCTACTATCGCTGAACAGTTAGGAGATAAGAGGGGGAGCCAAATTAGCCCTCCCCTTTGCCCGAGGATGCTTAGAAAACTGTGCTATGTGAAGAAGTTGATAGTCATGTCCAAATTTTAACCTACTATCGCTGAACAGTTAGGAGATAAGAGGGGGAACCAAATTAGCCCTTCCCTTTGCCCGAGGATGCTTAGAAAGCTGTGCTATGTGAAGAAGTTGATAGTCATGACCGAATTTTAACCTACTATCGCTGAACAGTTAGGAGATAAGAGGGGGAGCCAAATTAGCCCTCCCCTTTGCCCGAGGATGCTTAGAAACCGTGTTCCAGATAGGGTTAAGAATTCGCCGGCGCCTTATGGAAAGCCCAATGAAGAAAATTGTTTGGTAACTAAACTTTGATGGCGGAAAATGGCACCAATTCCAATTTCCTATACATAGCAATTAATGTTTAGACCAGCCAAAGTTTTGTAAATAAACTATCGTAAGGTTTCTTTTTCCTAGCGGAGGTGGTTAGTGTCTTTTACATAAAAATCTCAGAATTTCTAAAGAAAACAAACCTACAGAAACTTTTCGATCAATAGGAATATCACCATTAGAAATGCCAAAACTACTAAATGCCAGAACATAACAGAACAAAACTTTCAAATCCTATTACCTCATAAAATGTACAGAACCGATTAACAACAGCAATTACTTGGAATATGATTTCAACATGTCAAAATTTGAAACAGGAAATTAGGAAATTCATCTGGAGGGAAAGGTAGCATTTCAAACGGATAGAAACTGGAACAGGATACGTTAAATTACATTTTGTTTTCACAGATATTGAGTAACTTTTGCACGTTTGGTATTTTTAGGGTGCTAAAAATATGGGAGGTAATTTTAAATTGTATCGGATAAACGGTAATTTCAGCTTTGAATGTGTTTCTTTGTTCTTAATATGAAAGAAATTTGCAATCAAGTTTATTAAAAAATGGTTTATTTAAAAAAAATTAAAGATAAGTTCAGTAAGCGGAGCAGATGATCAAGGCAGGACTGCAGGAGCAGGGCTTCGGTGCATTGCATCCACTGCAGAAGACTTGCGGAGATGATGCCGGGATTTGACCAGGTGGACGACATGCAGATAAGGGAAGTCAGGTCTTCAAATTTGCCATTGGAGAAGATAGTTATTCGAAGCTCAACATGTTGCGAGAAGCGGGACAGACTGTTGAGATGATCTGTCGGCGATGATAAAGAAGAGTACAGCAGTACCGGGTTTTTGGTACAACAAAACAACCTGGATTTACCATATATTCAAAGGATTGCAGCTATACAATGAGGTCGAGGAAACTGGAATGCACACATTGACGTCGAGTCGAAGCAGTAAACTGAAAGCAGCTTGCAGGCATGTGGAACATCCCTATGGGTAGACAGAAAATCTTTAAAGAATGTTCTACATTTTTACAAGAAATAGTTACACACAATCATGATGTTTTGAAAGTCACAGAAAGGCAGGGCCGCCGAGAGGGGGAGCAAGGAGGCAAATTGCCCCGGGGTCTCGAGGTCTAGGGGGCCTCATAGAGCAATGAATTTCGCTTTCAAATGGAATTATTTAAAACTAGCAAACTTTTGTGTAAAAAATAACGCGTTATGAAGAATGATGAAAAAATTAAAAATTAAAGGTCCTCTCCAGCCAAAAAAAATTTGTTTAATGACTAAAAAGTTAACATCTGGTGCGTGTATTATGGCAAAGTCGTTCTTTTGCGAAATTCAAATTAGTTTAGAAGTTATAAGGCTTTAAAGTTCCACCTTCCGAGAAAAAAAACGACAAAAGCCGAATCAGTTTGATGACATTCTGACGTCACAATGTGCGGCTCTCGTTCGCCATGAATTTAGTATATCTTTCACCGAAGTGTGAAGGAGTCATGGTCACGCGTTGATAACTGTATCTAATGCACGACGTCACGAAATGCACAGTGACGTCAAAATTGCGTCACAGTGTCACCAAACCGACAAATTTTTGTCGGTTAATTCAATTCAATTATCGAAATGCAAGAACTTATATCTCACAAACTGTAAAAAATATCGAAAAACAAATAACGAATTCGTGATCAGCAGGTTCAACTCCTTTAGATTAGCCAATAAAATGCAAGTGCAAAATTTGGCCTGAGAGGCCCTTTAAAGCCTTATAACTTCTAAACTAATTGGAATTTCGCAAAAACAACCACTTTGCCATAATACACGCACCAGATGCTAACTTTTTAGTCAATAAAAAAATTTTTTTGGCTGGAGAGGATCTTCAAGTTTTGCCCCAGGGCCGCCAAAACCTCTCGGCGGCCTTGCAGAAAGGTCAAATAAAAGCCCTACAAAGTACCATATCAATATTCTCACATACAATGAAATTATAATTGCTTAAAAATTTGACAAAAGCGCATTATAGTTACTATTAGGAAAAAAGTTGACACAAACCTAGTGGTAACGCTCGGCTAAATGTAGGCGGATGTTCTTGAATGCCTCCACGTGATCTAGGCCATAACGCTCCCTCCACATAAACTCTTCAAAGTAAGAGGGTATCATTTCTGAGACGCTGCCATGGCATGCCTTCAGTTTACGCTTCGCTCTTGAACAGTAGGTCTCAACGCCTTTTGTGTGCACTCCAGTGTTAGGGTCAACAACGACGTCAGCGTGTATCAATACTTCGTGTTTGTACCCCAACGCTCCCAAACCATTGTGTACTGCCAAACTATTGGAATATATGATAGATCCAGGTCGTATGTAACGTTTTATGAGTTGCTCCAAAGTTGGTGCATCCCGTCTGTCGACAAGCTCGACGACACCAACCTTTCTTTGCCGGTCATACATCCCAAAAACCCACAGATCATGATGGGGCCTAGCGGCCCCCCTGCTGTACTTTCTTTTAATCATCATCGATTCGTCGATCTCAACAATCTGGTCCTGTCCTCCAAGCATTCTGTCGTCCATAGGAAGTTGTAGAAGCTTGGAACGACATTCTCCCCGCAACATGTTGAACCAGTCGATTACTGTTGATTCTGATACACCTACCATGACACTTGTGGCTGTCATGCAGGTATCTACAGACCAACAGTACACGATTAACACTATCTTCCCCAAAGACAAGTTTGATTTTTCAAAGAACGATCCATCACGGATCGACCTCGTTTTCCCACATCTGCATCGCCACCTAACACCATCCTGGCTGTCAGCCCTTGGCACCATCTCCATTTGCCTCCTGCAATTTCGCTCTCTACACCGTACACCCTTTCTGAGCAAACCCTGCTCCTGCAACCACTCTATGGTCTGCAAGGTATTCTGCAATATCGCCATGAGCGTCAACAGATTCATTTTTGCTTAGATGCTGATAAACCGTCGCACGTTTGATAAATGTTTAAAGTAGCTGTTTAATGTCTCCCTCGTTATATAAAGCTGCAGTGTATTTTCAATTTCATGTTGACGCAATAATCGTGAATTTGTCAGTTGATACTCCAAAAGACAGCGTGTTTTATTAAAGGAATTTCGATGAATGCCAAGAATAGATATGCTGCTTATTGTTTATGTGTGAGAAAGCTATTATTTCCTTCACGCCTTCCTGCTTTTGACAAATAGACAGGAAGCATCTGCTAAATCTGGAGAAGAGCACAATTTATGCGAATAATCATGCAGACACCGGTCTCCTGGAAAAACCAGACCCTAAGACCCTAGGATCGCTGGACACCTAGGGGCCTTCAGTACTGAATACAATAAGTACCTCTACTTCCGCACAGCTTGGCTCAACTGTTAGGGCCTTCATTGTGGCGCTCGTTTGATTACATGCTGTTTACCTAATTCTAGGGGGGCTTCTCCCGGTCTAGCAACATCATGTTTCGAAACCTTTTTCATAACGAGATACTTTCTTGGAATTTCTTGGAAACTTTTTCATAACGAGGCCACTAAGATTCAACATGCAATCCATTCTTGTGATAAAAACAAAGGTACTTGATACAAAACTATACCGAATATTATACCGGAGAACTCAACCGCATTCAATATGCGTATATATTCTGATATTTTAAAAATTTCAGTAAAGCTATGGCCTTACATTTTGGCAAAACAGTAGATGCAACGTGATAAATCATAGCCTGAAGAGACAGTTTTCTTCATTCTATAGAGTGTAGGATGACCGTATTGAATGAAAGTATACGCTGTTTTGTTGCATTTATAAGTAATTTTAAAAAACTTAATAACCCCTGATCGAAATAATCGAGCAACTGCCCATCAATCACAGATTTCAAACTATCAACTATCTCAAAAAGAACAACAAACCTTTTTTGCAAATATGCAGTTCTTCTAAAGTCCATTACTTTTTATAGCCTACAAATAGGGATACTCCGAGCCCATAAACAAGTTAAAAAATCATTTTTATCAATTTTGAACTAACTTCAGAAGTAAAGGCCCAGGGGTTATTCTAACGTGGTTTCGTTGCCGTTTTGTGGAATAGTGAATCCAATTTGTGGTGTTTTGATTTTTATTTTGTGGTGTCGTAAAAATTCAATTATCTTGAATACCTTTTTGGAACGTGAAGAAGTCGTTGGGAAAAACAAAAAGAAAGTTAATTTCAAACAGCAGATCGAAACAAATGCTTAACGTTCAAGAAGAATTCTAGTTTACACAGAACGGAACCTTAACGCAAAGCTTGCGCAATCGCTCGACAATGACGTCTGACACCTCGATAAAGCCTCTCCCCAACCCTAAATTAAGCCCCGTTTTCAATCGTAACCATAAAGTTCCGTTCCTTATTGTTTACACTATAGAAAAAAAGCACGATTTTAGAAAAGAACCAAAGAGTTTCGCAATTCAGCTAGACAAAGAAGAACAGAACCGTTCCAAAACTAGCACGGAACCTGCCTGCTTAATGTGAACGCAAGGCCTATTGTCACTTTTTCAGGCACGGAACCAACGAGTTTCGAAATTTTTACTTATTTCTAGAAAGAAAGTCGTATTTTGGAAAAAAAAACGATTTTGTAAACGGGTCAATTTTGATGAAAAAGTAAGGCTTTAGGATTAAAAAAATCGTCAAATTTCTTGAAATATTGTTCTCCTAAAAACAGTTTAAATTGAAACTATTTGATCACAAATACCTAGAATAAAGCTCAGTTCTAAAATTTAAGTTGATTTTTTCCAGAAATGATGACTTTTTGAATTCGTCCATTTTTATGAAAAAGTAAAGCTATAGGCTTAGAAAAATTGTCAACATTTTGAGAAAATTTTTCTCCTAAAAACAGTTTAAATTGAAGCTATTTGATCCCAAAACCAAGAATAAAATTCAGCTTCTTAAATTAAGGTCGTATTTTTGCAGAAATGACGACTTTTTGAATGTTGCAATTTTGATGAAAAAGTAAGGCTATAGGCTTAGAAAAATCGTCCAAATTTTTGAAAATTTTTTCTCCTAAAAACAGTTTAAATTGAAGCTATTTGATCACAAAAACCAAGAATAAAATTCAGCTCTTAAATTGAGGTCGTATTTTTTGCAGAAATGACGACTTTTTGAATGAGACAATTTTGATGAAAAAGTAAGGCTATAGGCTTAAAAATATCGTCAAAATTTTTGAAAATTTTTTCTCTCAAAAACAGTCTAAATTGAAGCTATTTGATCACAAAAACCAAGAATAAAATTCAGCTCTTAAATCGAGGTCGTATTTTTTGCAGAAATGACGACTTTTTGAATGAGACAATTTTGATGAAAAAGTAAGGCTATAGGCTTAGAAAAATCGTCCAAATTTTTGAAAATTTTTTCTCCTAAAAACAGTTTAAATTGAAACTATTTGATCACAAAAGCCTAGAATAGAACTCAGCTCTTAAATAAATGTCGTATTTTTTGCAGAACTGACGACTTTTTGAATAAGGCAATTTTGATGAAAAAGTAAGGCTTTCGGCTTAGAAAAATCCTTAAAATTTTTGAAAATTTTTTCTCCCAAAAACAGTTTAAATTGAAACTATTTGATCATAAACGCCAAGAAAAAAACTCTGTTCTAAAATTAAGGTCGTATTTTTTGCAGAAATGACGACTTTTTGAATAAGGCAATTTTGATCAAAAAGTAAGGCTATAGGCTTAAAAATGTCGTCAAAATTATTGAAAAATTTTTCTCCCAAAAACAGTTTAAAATGAAACTATTTGATCACAAAAGCCTAGAATAAAACTCAGTTCCAAAATTAAAGTCGAATTTTTTGCATAAATGACGACTTTTTGAATTCGTCAATTTTTATGAAAAAGTAAGGCTATAGGCTTAGAAAAATCGTCCAAATTTTTGAAAATTTTTTCTCCTAAAAACAGTTTAATTTGAAGCTATTTGATCACAAAAACCAAGAATAAAATTCAGCTTTTAAATTGAGGTCGTATTTTTTGCAGAAATGACGACTTTTTGAATGAGACAATTTTGATGAAAAAGTAAGGCTATAGGCTTAAAAAAATCGTCAAAATTCTTGAATAATTTTTCTCCCAAAAACAGTTTAAATTGAAACTATTTGATCACAAAAGCCTAGAATAAAACTCAGCTCTTAAATTAAGGTCGTATTTTTTGCAAAAATGACGACTTTTTGAATAAGGCAATTTTGATCAAAAAGAAAGGCTATAGGCTTAAAAATGTCGTCAAAATTCTTGAAAAATTTTTCTCCCAAAAACAGTTTAAAATGAAACTATTTGATCACAAAAGCCTAGAATAAAACTCAGTTCCAAAATTAAAGTCGAATTTTTTGCATAAATGACGACTTTTTGAATTCGTCAATTTTTATGAAAAAGTAAGGCTATAGGCTTAGAAAAATCGTCCAAATTTTTGAAAATTTTTTCTCCTAAAAACAGTTTAAATTGAAGCTATTTGATCACAAAAACCAAGAATAAAATTCAGCTCTTTAATTGAGGTCGTATTTTTTGCAGAAATGACGACTTTTTGAATGAGACAATTTTGATGAAAAAGTAAGGCTATAGGCTTAAAAATATCGTCAAAATTCTTGAATAATTTTTCTCCCAAAAACAGTTTAAATTAAAACTATTTGATCATATAAACAAAAAATAAAATTCAGCTCTTAAATCAAGGTCGTATTTTTTGCAGAAATGACGACTTTTTGAATGAGGCATTTTTGATGAAAAAGTAGGGCTATAGGCTTAGAAAAGTCGTCAAAATTCTTGAATAATTTTTCTCCCAAAAACAGTTTAAATTAAAACTATTTGATCACAAAAGCCTAGAATAAAACTCAGTTCTAAAATTAAAGTTGATTTTTTCCAGAAATGATGACTTTTTGAATTCGTCCATTTTTATGAAAAA